AGCCCCCAGGCAAGTTCTGGACACTCTGGCTGTTTGTTTGCCTACATATAAATGGTTTATATTAACTTGTCTCAGGGGTTTCATGAGGATTAGTTAATATTTGCAAGGTATTCATGGACATGCAGCATGTGAAGCATCCAGAGCCAGTTTCTTCCTCTTCAACTTGCATGACCCAATAAAGGATGCTGGGTTGTCTCTCTAATCTACATCTTCTGTTTGCCTTGCCCAGTCTGCAGCTCTTGGAACAACAGGAACAACAAAGCCTGAACTCTGTGCTTTGTGGTTATTTGCTCCTTCAGAAGGCAGGGGAAAGGGGAAGTCTATGCAGAAGAAAGTGTTTGATGCTGCTCAGCACGTGAGCAGAAAATTGCCCTACAAAAGAAAATAAATACAGAACTTTCAAAAAGGTGTATTGCTAAGCATAAATATATGCTCAGGCCTCCCTAGCCTGTGTTTAGTTCCGGCTTAGAGATTTCTGCCTCGGAGCTGAAGGGTTTGTTTGAAAGCTTGGTTGCTTTTCCACATGTATCAAATGATCTGTTACTATCACTGCTCATAAATCTGTTTGATTTCTAGTAGCTTTGTTTTGATAATCTCATTGAAGATACCTGCCAGGGAAGGTGAATTTCAATAGGCCTTTTTATTTCCTCATTCACTGGAAAGTGCAGCATTGAAGAGTGAATTTGCTCCCCAGTGAACTTCTGCCCTGGTATTATAAAGGTTATTACTGATCTGTGCAATTCTTTGCATGTAAAGTACAACATTTCTTCCAATTAAATTTCTACTACCTTTTATGAGCCAGGGCCTGATTTTATTTTTTTCATTTTCTCTCCACCCCAACTTGTTTGGGATGGGGTGAATGCCCTTTTTCTGGGACAACTGTGGTCAGGCCAGTCTCGTGAGGCTTCCACCTCCCCCTGGCATGACCTCAGCTCTACATTGCTGTCTGTGCTAATGCTTTTCAGAGCTTCCCAAAATCATTAACCCTGTGAAAAACCTATTGGTGATGACCTAGGGCAAGTTAGGCATCACTGAATGTAGAGGATGGTACTCTGGTCTGGTGAAAGGTTATTCAATTTTGCTTTCTGAAAGTGTGTGGGAAGCTGGGAATGGGGGAGGGACGGGGGACAACACAAGAGCTCTTTGCTGATGTGAACTTAGGATGGGGGAGGAATTTTGGTGCAGAGGAGCAATGGCAGATGTCACACCTATCTGAGGTGTGCAGATGCAAGAGAAACATCACCAGTGTCAGAACTGATGCTGACTTCATCTGGATCAGGGTTTCAGTCTGGTTCTCCAGTCACTCAACTCTGTTGACTTTCTAAAAAAAGTAAACAAAATATTGTCATGACTAGTCCTGGCAATCCTGGCACTCCTGGGACCATGTGAGTATGTTCCATTTCAAAGCATCACCTATGAAAATGATCCCAAAGGAGCCATACAGTGACATCTTTGGTTTTTTAGCAAAAAAACTATTCCTCTAATTTATCACCTGTAATTAGAAGGAGCATTTACCCCTCTTTCACTATGGAGGGGTTAACAATATTCACTTACTCCAGAATAAGAGAATATTGTTAACAAAGAAAGATGGAGGGGTTTAAAATTGATTTTGTTATTTTAGATGTTAAGTTAGGTTCTCTGATAAGTTATACAGGAAGCTTTTTTACAAAGAGCAGTGGGAGCAAGAAACCACAGTCATTTTACAGTTTGTCAGCTGGAGTGGTTATGGCTCACTGTAACAGCAAAAGAAAGGATCAGACAATCCAAAAGGTCCTTTCAGCCCTGTTTTCCTAAAGCATATATTGACTAACAAATATAAAGGGGAAGGGAACTCTGCTGGGTGGAGCCAGGGTTAATTACTGTTAACAAGCCAGCATGTGAGTTATGATAGGTATGCCAGATCTTGGCTGCTGTAAACTGGCAGATTTTCCTTCCCTGGAGAGTATATTTTAGGTGAACAGATCTCTCAACTTCACCATTTTCTGAACAGTAACCCTGGCCCCTCCTTTATTTCAAAGTTTGACTTTTTCATTTTCCTAGCTGATCCCCCTGAGCTTTTGCAAATTCCTCCTTTCCCATGGTAGTTTTCCCAACAGGTTTATGCCAATCTTTTTACTCCTCCCCATCCATTTGGCTGTGTCACTCACATTTAGTCCTTAATATCTGTCCTTATAAATCACTTTTGGTTTCCCTCTTACACTTTGGCTTTTTTGGATGCAGCTGTGGCCTGTAGCAACCTGGGAGTAAATTAAATATAGAAATGTGTTCTGCCTGTGATGAAGGAAACTTCCCTAATCATGTGTTGTTTTCATTAATGCCATATTTTACTTCAGGCTTTGATCTGATTTGCTTTCTACAATCCATTTAACATCAAAATTTTGCAGTGATTCTGTTGTGAAAGTATCTTTCATGTTATTTCTCTTTATCAAACATTTCTGACATTCTGACAGATTTTTCCATTTAGTCCCAGGGGCTATGAATTCCTTTTGAACTGTGTTTTCCCTGCCTTCCCTGGTATTTGCAGCACCTCCTGATTTAGATTCAATATCTGAATTTAATTAGTATGCTCTCTGCCCTTACTCAGATCACTAAATCTGCCCACCAGGAGCAAAGGGAAAGGATGAGCCTGGAGCAATGTTTGCCATTGCAGAGGATCAGTGAATGGCAAAAAGCGTGAACAGAGGAATTGTTAATATCAATACACCACATTCCTGGGGACAGAGTTGATGGGTTCTAAAGTCAGGCAAAATGATACATGAATGTTTCGTCTCAGGTGACATCTTTTGCAGATAAATTCAAATTAAGCTGCAATAAATTCATGGCCCTGCTTGTAAGAGCTGTCAGCAAAGAGTGCGAGGAACCCAGCCAAGATTTAATACAAGAATGGATTAACATCCCCCAATCTTCCTGGGATAAGGCAAACTCTAATCTAGCTGCATTCCTGGGATAGAAGTAGGACATCTGCATGACATAATACAGTTTGTCATCAACATGTAAGTCTTGATTAAAGTTAACTCAGAGGTTCTGGAGAAACATAAATGAATGCACCAAAAACTGAGTGAAAATGACAGAAGCAATGGAACCTAAAAGATTCTTAGGTGGGATTTGTCATACAGTTTGGTCTTTTAGGCTCTGGCCAGAGCAGTGCCAGTGCTAGGAGATCAGCTTTGGTCCAATTCCATCACAATCAATAGATTGCAAGGGCATATTTCATATGATCCACAAATCAGTAGGTGCCATTTGGAGATGGATTACTCTGTCCCTTCTATCTGAATGTGCCTGGCATATGTTCCATTATTTATGTTCTCCCCAGTAAGATCAATAAATCTATCGATCTACTGAATAGGCTAATTTTTTTCTCCCCATCATTGTCATAATCTGAGAGCTGACTGATAACTCTATTACTTTGTTTTGCTTGCAACTTCTTTAACTTCACCCCAGAATTAAAACAAAGACTAATCCAAAGTCACCCATTTTTCACCTGGAAGTTTGTCCATATATGTTGTGAATGAAGACAGATAACCTCACACTTCCTGATGAGTACAGTAAGTGTTATCTCAACTGTAGCAAAAAGGCTCAAATGTCCAAAGAATATAGAAGTCCAAGGCACAGGGAAATACTGACTGTATACACACTGTGGCCTTGTCCTTTTGATACAGATCAGATAGTGAGTGACAACATGAGGGCAGGTGAGAAAAACACCAGTGCCCCAGTTTTTGAAGCCACCAGATTCCTTTACAGCAGCATCTGCTATACCAAAGTCACTGCTGGCTTGGGAGCTCCAAAACTCTGGGAGTTTTTTGCATCTGTTCTGGCCAAATGCAGATGGTGGGGCAGCAATTCCCTGGTCCTGGGTTAGCAGAAGGGAAGAATGGTTTGCTGTCTTGTGTGGAGGAGAATAATGGTGGCACTTTGAAAGATCCTGCTGAGGTAGCCAGTCAGAGGCATTATCAGGGTAATATCAGAGGTCTACTGTGCTGATACAAGGAAAAATGAAATAAGGCTCTTTCACATGGTCGTTCAAGTGGACATGACTGAGGACTACTTTCTGTGCTTCTTCATAAAAGGCAGTAGTTAAGAAAGCCACTGTGGCTTGTTGGATGTTGAAATGAGGGAAGCAAAGGATTTTTTATTCTGTGGTCATGTCAAGGGAAGGATTTGGCAGCAGACAGGCATGCTGGAAAATTGTGAAGTGCTGGAGACAAAGCTATACTGACAACGTAGAGTGAGTTGAAGGAAACTTTCCTTTAAGCTCACTGAAAAAAAAATAGAAAAGTTTGACAGTTATGTCTCTATTTGTTTCTTTCTAAAATGGATAGATTTTTCCTCCAGAAATTCTGCAAAAGATGTAGGCACAAGTAGCAGACGTTTCAATTGCAAATTTGGAGGGCAATCTGTCTACCTTCTGATTCTTATTCTAGAACCAGTGCCATGAAGTACCCGTTTGCAGAAACATTTTAAGTTTTTAGCACATCTTCTTTCAAAACTTACCATTGGAGAAAACTTTCCAGGCTGGGAGTTCAGTTTGCAGCACAACAGAGGAGTGGAGTGAGAGCTGAGGGGGGAAAGCATGATGTGTGTAGGCAAGAAAAAACAAGTTGGAGGCTCTCCACCTGCCTGTTGTTAACTGACACAGTTGAGCAAAACCAAACCACAACCAGCATCTAGAGACTTGCATCCTGCTACAATACTTTTTTATGTCCTCCCTTGAATTTGGAGAGGCTGCACCTGACCTTTGTATGCACTGACTCTAGTTGTGCCAAGCAAGCAGTTCAGTAGCAAGCTAAGTGGAAATAATTATTTTAATTAGTGTAATTGGATTACACTGAAGTGTTTTTGGGGACTGCTGTTCTGCTTCAGATGTTGTTCAAACTGTCCTGTCTGTACATAATTTCTAAATCAACACATTACATAGGGGTTTAGGCAGAGAAAAGGGAATTGGCCAGAAAAAGGCCTGATTTACTTCAGATTTGATATTTAATAACACAAGGAACGTAGGGTGGATTGCAGTAGGTTTTTATTAGGACAGCAGATTTTTTTTGTAAGCTGTCATCATGTGCACCTTATTTTCTCAGGAAATCATAAGGTTATAGGTATTTTTTTAACCTTTGTTTCTTGCTTGTCGTCAGCAGCTGAAATCCCATCACCATCCACTGTGAACAGAAAACACAGGAAAAAAAGCTCTGTGTTCCACACGACCATACCATTAACAGGAGAAAGTCATCACTCAGCTACCCAAAGCACTGAAGGCCCTCAGTCAGTACAAATTAGAGAGAAATAGAGGAGATCAGATTGAGACATGCCCAAAAACATGGGTATTGTTGCCTATACAGTTGCATCTCAAAAGGTATTTGCAGCTGATTACATCTGCTTTGAACTAGTAGAGGAAATGATGAACAAATCATCAGCATTATTTTCCTCCACAGCAGCTTTTTTGATGCAGCCTTCCATAACCTTATGTACTTGACAGCATATTTTAGCACTAACACTTGGTATGGCTGTTTCTTCTCCTGAGAGAAACTGTGATTCTCACTAAGGAAACCCCTTGAAGGCAATAAATCATTTACTGGAGCACAGTCCGTTGCATTTCAACAGATCAGCATTTGGTGCTTGGAGTTGGTGGCTGAGATCAGACAACATCAACTGTCAGGAAATTCAAATTCCGAATTTCAGTGTTGGTTTCATTACTGGGCTTCTGCCTATGTGTTGTGCAGGCTAAGACTGAACTGTGCTTTCATGCAGACTGTGCTTTCATTCCTGCAGATCCTCTAAATGAGATTAAAAGGGATGATAGGGCCAATACCTCCTGCCATCAGTGAGATCATAGCAGGTTTCTTGAACACTACCTGAAAGACACATCATGATGGCCAGAGTAAATGTTTGGTGAAGATAAGTAACTGGATGATAAAACTAAATGCCTGTGGGTTATCCAAGGAAACTGAAAGGGAAAACAGGCTGGGAAAAATTGTAAAAATAGTTTATTCACATGAACATCCAGTATTATATTAAACATGCTAAGTTTTGGATATACTGGAGCTTCTCTTTTTATTACATCCTTAACAGTCAAGTGAACATGGTTTTAGAAGAGTGGAATGTTTTAAGCAAACATTGCTGACCTAGATTTTCAAAATGGGTGAGCTTGAGGACACTGTCTTCATTTTATGCCTCGTTAACTTTGCCTGTTCTTCAGTTTCCATGGAAACTACCTCTTTGGTGACAGATAGAAACTTTTGATGGGTCAAGTAAGAAAAAGGTAACAAGAGGTATTAGGGCAGGGAATATGTTACAGAGCCCTAGTGGAAAGGCAGTGAATGAACTTTGAACATAAACAAAGGGATGATAGTAGAAGACCATAAATGTCAGTGCATTGACAGTGAGGATGATTCAAAGTTACTATGGGACGTGAAAGCACAAACTTAACAGAGCATGACCTTGTTCTGATAGTTAATGAAGTTAATCTGGGCTCAGAATAGAATAACAGAGATCAGTCTGACTTTGTCATTATGGATGAATAAGCACAGCTCCAACCCAAAATTTCAAACGTGATGGTGCTGAGAGAACCTCCAAAGAGCCCCAAGCCTGATGCAGCTTTGTGCTTAAGGCACCTGTAGTAAGGACACCTGTGGTAAAAACACAATTCTGCCCTACAGATGTATTGCACCCAACCCATTTGGAGGCTACTGTACATCCTGCACTGTCCCTGTCACTCTGGCAAGGTATCAGTAATGCAACTACATGAGTGTATTATACACTGAACTATTTTTCTTGGTGGGTTTTTAAGTTAATTATAGGTTGGTGTTTTCTAAGGACATCAGAAAATGCAGTCAGCAGCTTAGCTACTGGACTTACCTCTACAATGTGCTTTGTGACCTGAAGTCAGTTATTAGCAATATCTACAGCCCTGTAAGGAAGAGACACAATAAAAATAAATCTTCATCCTGGGTATGAGGGGAGAATCAACAGTCAAAAGATCCATTGTCAAGTTGAATATGTCTTTACCTTGAATAAGATGTACTCTCTTACAGTAAGCCCACCCCATCCTTACCATTCCAGACTAAAATGTTTCCCTTCTGCTTTGAGAAAACTTTAAAATTTGCATGCATTACTTCTAGTTTTACATCTGACAAATGTGATCTCATAGTTTGTAAGTCAAAAGTGATAAAAAGTGTTTAGATTCTTGTCACAACATAAGTTTTCAGCAGAACCAGACTGAAAAATATGCAGACAGTTGGACATTAGAAAATGGAGAGCTGTAGGTGTGATTCTGGCTCTAGTTTTGTGGGATTCTGGATGATTAATCTGATACTTTTCTCAAGCCTGTGTTTTCCAATCTCTAAAGTAATATGATGATATCTATATTTTTATAAGTATCTCTTCTAAGGTCTAGGAGTTGGAAGGTCTGCATATGTACTGAGGGGAGGGATATAAGCCTATTACTGTCCAAACTTTTATAAGTATCTCTTCTAAGGTCTAGGAGTTGGAAGGTCTGCATATATACTGAGGGGATATAAGCCTATTACTGTCCAAAAAATAGTATTAACTGCACATGCTTTTTATTGCCTGAGTACAAAATTTCTTATAAACAGAGCTGAATTGGGCTCCTGAGAGGGGGACAGGGTGATGGAGCTTGTCTTTCTCTGCCTTTTTGCTGGCAGGTTTAAGGATTACTGGTGGTCACATAGTTGGTACATGAGATACAGAATGGAGGTGAGGCTGGAACAGCAGCCTGTCTTTAACACAAGTATCTATTCCATGAGACACAGTTGGTATGAAGACTCAGTGCTCATCAAGTTGAATTAAAAATCTGGAGTGTAAATTTGGCAAGCTTCAGAACAGTGTCCTAGAGTTTAAAATAACACTAGCCCCCTGCCCTGGCATTGAACTCTGTTGGGAGCCAGCAGAAGATGAGATGAATTGTGATGAGGTTTTAGATGGGATGCTGGTGAGGCTCTGATGGAACCCTTGGCTAGAATTATGGACTATCAACAGCTCCAGAGAACTCTTCCAAAACAAAGACCCCAAAGCTGGAGACTAGTGTGCAGCAAGTCAGCTTTGTTCCTTGGGCTTTGTGAGATGGTGTTCATTGCTGGGAGTATCCTTGTGAACTCAGCACCTGCCTTTTCACAGGACTTGGTCGTGGGTGACAAGGAGAACTGAGCTAGCTGAGGAATCCTGCCTGGCTTGCCTGGCTTGTGTGTGCATTTGTGTGTATATATAGAGATAAAGAGTAAGCACAGACAGCAGAGACAGTTTGTGTCATCACAAACAGTGGCACTGCTCTCTCCACTTTCTGTGTTGAGGCCTTGCTGTCATATCCAGTGTAATGGCGAGCCCATCCCTCAGCTTAGTTTGCGCTGCCTGTGTGGGCTCTAAGCCCTGCCCATCCCTAAGCCTGACTGCACCAGAGGTGACTGAGGCAGAGATCCAGGCTCCTTCCCTCCTCTCCTTTCCCAGGTGCAGGAGTTTGGAGCTGGCTGCCATTCCTGCCCACAGGAGCCAGGCGAGGCTGGGGGAAGGTGGCAGGAGCCAGGCTGGAGCAGTCGTCTTGCAGGCCTTGGGGCTTGCATTGGTACGTGGAGTTACAACGCTGCCTGAGACTGCATGAAAACACACAATAAGGCAGCTGAGTCCCCTGAGGTGTGGAGTGAGGTGTGAAGAGGATAAGTGGGGTGAACTTTCTTTAGGGAGAGATTTCTTGATGCCATTTGACTGGCCTAACACTTAACACCACAAGGGTTTAAGGGTTTTCCCCTTGCCTATTCTGTATCTACTGTGGATGGGTCATTTCAGGGGACTCTTGTTTATCTTTGAACTTTCAAAAGATCATGAAAGCACTGAGCAGAACAGACATGAAATAAAATAACATGCATTTGTTTAACATGCTGAAGTATGTAGAACTGCAGAGGTACCTGGACAGCAAGGCCTCTTTCAGTTCTTATTTTCATAATTATGTGGGCATGGTATTTTGTAAAAGCTCAATTGCCATATGCAGCCTTGAGCATCAAATTCTGCTCTCAATCCCATCAGTTTAATTAAGATATAGTTATATGCTGATATGTTAAAAATGTTGCTGAAGCTGCTCAAGTTCTGCAGCAATGTGCTGGATGTAAACAAAGAGCTGGACACACAAGGCACGACAAAGGGGATTGCTGGGTCAGGAGTGCTGCAAATGGCTCAGTTGTAACACTGATCTCTCAGTGCCTGTGCTGCCACATGTTTTTCCAATGTTTTGAATCAGCCTTTTCAAAGAAATCACAGAACTTTCCTCTTGCATGAGCACAGTCTTGGTTTGACCACAGGCCCATTGGCCCCCTCTGGCTACTGGTCCTTCAGCATCCTGCCCATTGTGGCATAAGACAGATATTTCCAAGGAATATTCCCTCTTCACAGGGGTGGGGAAATGCTGTTGCTCTGGTTTCTTGGTAACGGGGCTTTTATGTACCCAAGGATTGTGAAACAGAGGCTGGAACATGCCTTTTTCTCAGACCTCCTCTGGTTTCAGTTGTCACATCTACAAGCAGAAGAGATCATGCAACACATGTCCTCTCAAATCCTGTCAGCTGGGGAATAGTGGGATCTTTCAAGAGCAGGAATTGGTTAGTCCCAACTTTGCCACTTCACCAGCAATGCAAATGTCTGTTACCCAAAGGCTATTTAAGAAGAAAGCTGTCATGATAATGACTGAATATCCAAAACAACATCTTATGACCAAATACTATGAAATCATCAGATTAAACACAGAAAAAATAGCACAAGTTGCCAGGGCAGAGTCCTCCTCTGCTTTCATGTGACTATCTTATCTACCCTGACCTGCCAAGTTGCTTGAAAGGATGTTAGTGTCTGAGCTGGGGACATTAGTATTATAGCACTTCTCTGTATTTGCTAGCATGAGAACAGTAAGGAAAGCATGTACCAGAAGGAGATTGATGCTGGTAATGTAACTCACTGTTATGGCTCCTCTGAGACAGAATGCACTGGAATGATCTTGTCTAAATTTTGAGAAGATTAAATCCAGGAAAGACTTAGGATCTAGATAGGGGTTTTTATTCTTGCAGAAGAAGAGAGAAGAAGAGAAGCAAATACCTCCTCTTTGTAGGAGCTGCCTGACTTCATCACATCTGACAAGGAAAGACAGTACCTGCTGACCTTCTTTGTAAGACACCTAAAGCAGAGATTATCCTTAATTATCCTCAATATTCGTCCTATAAATTGTCCTGTGGCAGTCGGAGCCAGGCCCTGGCTTTGGGAGCAGAGTGCCCTGGAGGCACACTTCCCTGGGGTGGCCCTGGGAGGCACTGTGTGCCTGTGCCAGCTGACTGAGAGGCACCTCGGGGTTAAATTCCTTCCTCTGCTTCCCCCTTCTTTCCAGAGATTAGTAAGCAAATTGCTGAGCTTTACCACAAATAACCTGACACCGTCACCTGAGGTCTCGCTCCAGGTGCTGCTGCTCCGGTCAAGAACAGGGCAGGAGCCAAGTCTGCCCTTTGCTCTGTGTGCCAACAGGGAAGAGGGATGGGCTCTGTGCCCTTGCCCAGAACCCAGGAGGTCCAGGCAGCATGGGTGGGGAGGGAGGCAGTACTAGATTTCTCCAATAATTCCTTGCCTGGGTGGAGAGTCCAAATTGCAACTGAGTTATCGCAGCCACCCCAGACAACACCCTCCTTCCTGAAGCTCTCAAAAAGTGTGATTAATTACAAGATAAGGATAGGGAATGAGTTGCAAGTGAGCAATAGCTTTGTGCAGGGGTTAACTGTGTGCCTGAGACCTTTGCATGGCTCAGTGTTGCTCGTGCTCTCCAGCTGCCACATGAACTCCAAGACCCCGCTAATTTCGGGGTAAAACAGGGCCTCTTGAGATCTGTAAACCTTTGGACGTGGTGTTATAATTCCCTGGAAGTGCACTGTAACTTGCTTTGCTTTTTGAGGTTGTGGTGGGTTTACAGTGGAATTGTCTTCATCTGCCACCACCAACAACCACACTTGGTGCCCAACAAGGATGGAAGGTGGAGGACAGGCAACATGAAGCAAATGTGTGACCACACTCTAATGAGTTGTAATCATCAGGGTGATACCATAATATTGATATTGATAATTAAGATTATGAAAATAGGCAGATTTGTTATCTGAAAGACTATTTCAATCACTAGAGAGTTTGGCTTCACACATTTAATTTCTTTTGAGTTAGTGTTTTTCCTTATTGTAAAGCTGTCCTTACAAAACATCTGTCTTCTCATACTTCTGTGGATATTATGCAAATGTCCTCTCCTAAGCTATCATGAAAGCATTCTCCCTTTTGTGTCTGGAAATCAACCCTGTCCTGATGGAGCAGAAAGTCCCATTCTGCAGAGCCAAAGAACAACAGTTTTATTATAAGTTTATGTAACTTGAAATACAAAAGGGCCCTAAAATTTGCAGTGTGGAAAACTTCACAACATTATAAACCACTCAGGCTTCAGCACAGAGACCAATTTATCCATGTCGTATGACTCCATAGAGCCAGGAAACAATGCACATCTCTTCAGCCTTTCATGAACTTCTTGGTCAATGTGATGAGTTTCTTAAGAAATAAAACATCCTATCATCAACCAGGAAGAGGTATTTTAGACCAGATGTAAGACACAAACTTAATCAGAATTTACTGACTTCTCTCTGCAAGTGCAGTTGTCTGGTAGGGAAGGGGTTTCCTTACAAAGCAATTCCACCTTAGTTTAACTGAAGTCTGTATAGTCTTAAAACATTCAAGTTGTCCTCTTCAGGCCTAGAAATCAAATTCCAGCTGACAGCCTGCAGCTGAAGTATAAGCTTTCAAGGGCAGAGGGAATTCCTTTATCTCTATGAAGTAATCATCATGTGCCCTGAAGCATGAGGTAATCTTACCAGGCTACTCAATTTTTATTAAGGTCCAGTGAATTAATTATACCAAATTCTGCTGTTTTCTTTCTGAGGAATTTATTGAACAATTTTCCCAGCTTGTTAAAATCTACCTAGCTCAATGGATAATGGTAATTGTAATCAACTTATCTCAGTTTTACCTATCAAATTTATTTTGCAGATTGTCTCAACATGCAAGGTGTCATAAAGTCCACTTTTGCAAGGCCAGCTAGAAATTGCCTCAGGTTCTCATTATTGGGAAGAAAATAGAAAGTATAGGAACTCTTGAAAAAAATGAGAGATGCATTTTATGCTTTCAGGTGCTCTGGGACAAACAGATGACTTTGACATCAGGGTCTCACCCGTTCAAGTAACCACAATGTATAACTTAAGTGGCAATATTATTTACAGTGAATAAATACCAGCCTCTAAGTATTTGGTGGATAAAAGCAGAGGCCTAAGAAAGGTGAATTCTTCTCATAGTGAAAGAGCAAGGGATCCCAGGCCTCTGATATATTCATCCAAGTCACCAATTCAATCACTCGTCATGCACCACTTTGTTATCACTGCTTCCCACAAAATAATTCTTCTTCTTCTTCCACACCACCCTGCTGAGCAATGCTTGGAAAGCAGCTGTGCCAGCACTGTGGGCTCAAAAGGAGATGCCCCACAGGGTGACCGCTGCCTTGAGAACTCACCTCCTCTGTGGCCTCTTGATCCTCTGCCTCTGTGGATGCCAGAGGACAGGTTGCATCCCTCAGAAGTGCAGATCTACCCGTCCTTGTCCTTCTCCTTCAAACTAAACCAACACAAAGGAGATTGTGAGGGTCCTTGTGAGGCATTACTTGGAACAGGGAGCCTGAGCTGTCCTCTGTGTGAGCTAACCCCAGGACAGGCCCTTCGGATCATCTCGATGTGCGTGCGCTGGCAAAGCATCGTGGATGCTTAGGCAACTGTTATCAGATCTCTGTTTATAAATACAAGATTTTGAATTTGGCTTGAGTGCTTAAGCTTACTAGCAGGCAGGCTTCCCCCCCAACAAAAGCACAATAACAACCAGAACGAACAATCACTGTTTCACCTCTCCCACATTAGCTATTAATAATGTTAATTTACTTCCTTTGAGAGATACCATATGGTCCCCTTCCTGATCCCTCTAGAGGCATAAGAAAAAACTAAGGAAATTAGAGAGACTCCATAACACTGATGGCCACATCCAATGTCTTATCAGACTTCCTGTTGTTGGGAGTATTGTTTTCCTTTAAAGATTAATATTTACAATGGTTACTTAGTTATCTTAGTTCATTTGGTGACCATTAAAGATTCCAGCCCTGAATGCGATGAATGAACCTCTTTTTATTTGTCCTTGATGACTTATTTGTCTTGTGCCTCGTCTGGCTGAAAATCAAGGAAAATAATTATTGGGTTGGGCTTTTACTGCAATTTCATATGAGGGTTCAAAGTGCATGTTTCTGTTTGTTTTAGAGTGGGAGCCCTTACCTGCTGTTTCTGCTGATGTATGCATATTTAAGAATATATGTTTTCTGATTAGAAGCAAAGTTAAAATAGGTATTTTCACCTATTTTTCTTAAGTTGCATGACGGATTTGAGTACTCCTTGGGGAAAAAAGAGGATGTTTGAGATTTCATCCACAATTGGATGTACAGCAGCCATAAAGGGTCACCAAGGGGGTCTTTGATGGGACAGAAAAGGCAGCGTGTGGCTGTGCACAGGCTAAAGGAACAATAACCCAGTTCAGAGTCTGTCCTTCATTTTCCCGTGTGTATCAGCTGAAGTTCAAGGGATTTCTCAGCAAGGGCTAAAGAAACAGTCATTTTTCTCCTGTGTTTTTGAATAAAGATTGAAAGGCAAGTCAGGAAGCAGTTGCTCAGTGTGACACAGATGGGGATCTCAATCCAGCTGCCTGCTTCCAGAGCTACAGAGGCATTTCTAGGCATGAGGGATTTTGAAGCTACCTTGAGTTGTCTTTGTTCCTGCTAAAGAGGAGTACAAAAATGCCCTTGTACTCACAGGGGTACTAGACCCAGCCCAGTTCTCTGGAGAACACCATCAAAGGAAAACTTGGTCCATACTGTGAATTTCTGGGTTCTAACTTTGTGCCATGTGCAGCATTACTGCAGGAATGAACATGGGTGCACGAGCATGCCCTGGTTTTCCCCTCAGCTTGGACTACAGGCACACCTTGCCTTCCCTCATTCCACCTTATCCTCAGCTGCCTTTAAAATGGATTCATTTCCATCTTTGTGAGCAGAACCCCTGCAAGTGCACTTCTGGTGGTAATCCCCGTGCTGGCCACCTCTCCACACATCCTTCCTACCCCAGCCCATCAGTGTTTTCTTGAGTAAAGCCCTCGGGACCACAAAGGCCAGGATTCAGCCAGGTCTGTTTATGATGTGATAATCATTTTGCAACATGAACCTCACAAGCGAGGTGGTTCTCAGGCACAGTTGGTTCCTAGAGAAAGGATAATTTATAATAATGACACTTCCAAGGTCTCTCTTTTTCTCCCCCTTCCCCCTCCCAGTCCTTGCTCTCAACCCAGCTGGTGAATACAGGACAGACCATCCCAGCATTTGCAGGGGGAGGCTACTTTTCAGGTTTCCTTGCAGAATTCTGTCTCATCCTGAAACAGCATTTTTGATGCACTTTTATATTGGACTCATTTGCAAAATGACAGATGTTTCTGACACGATAAGGAACGTGGTGCAGCAGCCAGCGGCGCTGCAGAGCTGCTCATGCTCCTCACCTGAATCACAAATGAGATAATGCTTTCTTATCTGTTAAAAAACACAGCAACTGCACATATAAATAACACGTCACCAAGTGCCAGCTGTTTGTGCCAATGACATTTTTCTTAAAAGAACAGCTCCCCCCATCATCTGCTTTCACTCTTGCAGAAAATCTGGAGATCTTTTGCAAGTGCAGCAGAAAATATGTTTTTTTCTTTTTTAAGCTGCAGTTACTTTAAAATAATTCTATATGAGCAAAAACCAGCGTTTATGACTCAGCTTTGGGTACTTTTTTATTTTGGTGGGATTTTTAGGGGGTTTTTTGTGTTTGTTTTTGGTGTGTGTTTTGGGGTTTTTTTTGTTTTGTTTTGTTTTGGGGGTTTTTTTTGTTGTTGTTTTTGGTAGCGTTTATGACTCAGCTTTGGGTACTTTTTTATTTTGGTGGGATTTTTAGGGGGTTTTTTGTGTTTGTTTTTGGTGTGTGTTTTGGGTTTTTTGTTTTTATTTTTTTTGTTTTGTTTTGGGGGTTTTTTTGTTGTTGTTTTTGGTCCTTCCTTGTCCTTTTTCTGCATCTCTCTCTGAACAGAAGAAAGTAAGTATCACTGCTGCTTTCTGTCTCTTGGACAATCATTCTTGCAGACCTTGCTGGCTTTCCATGATTTCAGGGCTTCTGTTCTGAATGATATTGAAGAAAGTTACTTAGTATTCAATTTTTTTTTTCTGATTTTGAAAATGTGAAAGAAAACAGTAAATCACTTTTCTTAATGTTTGTAAAAGGTTTTTTGTTACTTTGAAATTAGTTTGAAGGCAAAACCACCTCTAGAATCCCAGACACAGAAGAAAGCAGGCCTGCTCACTCAGTAACCTTTACTATTAATTCTTCCAGACAATGGAACTTAAAAATCCTACCAGGTAAAGTTGTTCTGGTAATTGATCTGTTCGATGTTTTATTAGGATAAAACTGAGAAACATTTTTCAGCATTTTGCCAGTTCAGGCAGGGATGTATTTCTGTTACAAATGACCTTCTGGGAGAACTTGACTGCAGGGACATGATTCATTGGCAGCCTGCTGGTGACAGCCTTGTTTCTATTGTTCTAAAACTCTGGTTTCACATTTCTCCTGTTAGATAAGCTGCAAACATTAACTACACAGTGAGCTACAAATAAAGTGTGATGTAAGAATTAAGCCCATTATCTGATTGGCAGTGCAGGGCCACTCTTCCAGGTTAAGGGTTTGAGCAGACGTTTTGTTTTTTGTTTTTGTTTTTTCTTAAAGCAAAACTTTGGCTTCTTACATTAAGGGTTTGAGCAGAGGTTTTGTGGGTTTGTGTTTTTTTTTTTTTTAAAGCAAAATTTTGGCTTCTTTCATTACTGAAAGCATTGTCCTCCCAAAAGATAAAATATTCCTTTGGAAGCTGCAGTGTGTATATATAGTGTGAGCTATAAATAATCTGGAGCTAGTTCTGCACGGTACCAGCATGCAGAGATATTAAGGACAGATTCTGATTTTTGTGGCTACACTGGGGCCACTGAGAAAAACCAGTCTGAAATGGCAGCTTTTAAATTTTATTCAGTATGTTTAGATTCACACCAAGATAAGAATCTTGCTGGGGCTTTATATGTGTTTTAAGGAAAAAAAGGAGTTTGGTGGCTTCAGTTTAATCTTCATTGGAGTTGGAGATTACATATCCATTTCTGGTATTCTTATTTAGGACTAATACAAAGGCAAATGAATTCACTCTTAAATGAGGAATGTCTTGATTATTATGCTAGCTGAAAAATAGGTCTATATACTCCCACAGCTCAGCTGCTGTGAGTGGATGTGCATAAGGACTGAGAAATGGTTGCTATTCAGCTCCTTCAGATGTTAGGATGGCTTTCAGCAATTGAATGATTTATGATAATGTTGATATTCATGCAGGCTATTCGACTGCCAGGATAAAGACCACAATGCCTGATCGGTTTCTTTTTCTTCAGGCATATGGTGGTTACAGGCTGACATTGGAAAATTCTCTGGCTGAAGCAGTATCTTCCCTGCTGCAATGGGGTGGAGGCTGTGGGCAAGGGAACAAGAAGAAAAGTACCTGTTTATAATGGATTATCGACCATGTGTTATCTCTTCTGCTGTAAAATCTTAACAGGACAAAGCATAATAATGTTGTTAAGGGCATATGAGACAGGGTCAATGCCAGGGTATTAACCTTACTTAGCAAATTTGTGATAAATATAATAGATTTCATGTTTCTACAAGGACTTTTACAGCAGCTTCTGATTATGCATTAAAACTCACTGCCCTGTGTTGCGTCCTTTCTTAGATTTGGACAGCAAGGAGAGGGGCTGCTTGTGCTGTCTGTGCCTTTTAACATCTGTGCAGTTTTGAGGCATCATTCTGGGTTCCTAAATCTTTTTTTCAGTTTGTCAGGTACACTGAAAGAATGAGTTATGCCACCCACACAGAGATGCCTGGTGGAGGAGGCTGCCAGGCCTCGGGGGTGCATGATGGGCCCCCATGGAGCACTTTGGGGTTCAGTGCTGTGGCAATCTGCTGTGCAATGGATTGCAGGATGCAGTGGAGGAGCTTTCATTCATACTAGTGCATTCCTGGTGACTTGTGGAGTGTGTGTTGAGGTCTGTGGAGGTCTTATGCATCATAACTGAAGTTGTGTAGTTTCCTTCCAAGGATGACCCACAAGACTTAACACATCAGACTTCACCAGCCAATTTATTTAACAAACTTCTCAATCACTTCTGGAGCAGGACTTCACTCCTGCTTGCATTTATCCTCCTATATGCTGTCCTGGCCACTCTCAGAGGCTGTAGAAAGGGGGCAGGAGAGACAAGAACAACCTCTTTCATGTATTCCTTTCACCTCATGACTCACTGCACAGGGACCCTGGAAATGGGCCATGCTGAAGTGCACTGCAGGCAGGGCCCACTGCACACCCTGGGAAACATCTCAGAGCTGCCTTCAAGTACTCTGGTGCATGCCAGAAAGAACAAAGCACCTGCAAGGACCTCAGAATCACTCCATCCCTCTAAAACTGCTGTGCCACCTCTGTCCTTGCTATGTGCAGTTGGGACAGCTGGGAGCAGGGAACTGTCTTTCTACAGATACGCCAATGTTCCCAGGCCAGTAAATATGAAAATCAGTAAAGCCCAAGGACTAAAAGCACACCAGTGCAGCTCGCTCAGATCCCACTGCTGTGAGCTCCTTTCACACCCAAGGAAAGTCCCCACTGCTCTTCCCAAGTGGTGACTGAGCCCACGCAATAACCTC